GTCCCTCTTTCCGAAACCTCTCTGAACTTTGGCGGGTCGAACGCCCTCAGGGGGTTGGAGTCCCGCGGAGCCGCGCAACTGGGGGATGGGATTGGGAGGGAGTGGAGCTCGCAGGGCAGCGGGGAGCCCATCCAGGTCTCCGAGCCGTGGGGGGCGTGGGTGACAGGTCGCTGTTCCTTGTCCCCAAACTTCTCCTTTCCTGTTAGTGAGGGTGGAGGGAGGACCGACAGGGCATTTGGGATTTTGCTCACGTCCGAAGTCAGGTTGCGGCGGGTGGGGACGGGGGAGGTTTGGCGTCGGAGCCAAGGAGGAGCGGAGCTCTCGCGCCCGAAGGGGGCACTTCTGCAAGTTTCCCCTCCTGAACACCCTTTTAAAAAAGCCAACGGCCGCCCTGGGAGAGGCCCCGGCGCATGAATCATCCTCGCTTCCTGCCCCCGCCCGGCCCCGCGCTCCGGGTGCCGCGGATTTGAACTGGACGCCGACGGGAACCCGCAAACAGGCATTTCTTTGCAGATGGGTTTGAATCAGCCAATCACAGACCGCGGGGGCCCACTCCGGGAGGATGGAGGCGGGGGTGGGGGCCGCCACCCGGGGGCCCCCGCCGGGTCGGGAGGGGGGCGCGGCCACCGGGCCAGCTCCCAAAGGCGCAGCGGGGAGGAAGTGTCAGTTTGTGAACCTGCTGCGGCCTGGCCCTGGCCGGCCACAAGCCAAGCGGGCGGGGACCTCGCAGCGCCCGGGGAGCCAGGTGGCAGGGAGAAGGCAGGGGTTCCGATGGCACCCTCGGCCCTGAAAAAAAAAGAGGAACAGGCGCTGTGAATGGGGACGTGGCCACCCACCTCTGGAAAGCCAAGACCCCTGCAGTGCCCTTGCTGTCCCAGGGCTCCTCACATCACACATATGTATTTACTTTCACACACTTACGTGCACACTGCAACGACATTATGGTACCAGTCTCACCGGAGTACATACACACGCACACGGAAACTGGCACCGGACTCATCCTTGTCAGCAGAGAGTCCCGACACCAGCTGCCTAGCAGTCGCAGGGGGAGGGGACCAGAGTAGGAGGTACAGGGAACAGGCAAGGCTGTGTGTGGCTGTGGTGGGGAGTGTATGGAGGGGCATGGAGCCAGGGGAGGCTGGAGAGGGGAGGAGGGGGCACTGAACACCAGTGAAGGCATTAGGGAGTCACAAGTTTTCTGGAAAAGTCTAGTGGAGAGGCAGGAAAGCAGGAGTGGGGACTCTTGGTGGTGCCATTGCCCATCCTGTGTGCCTAGCATAGGTGAGCCCCAGGCTCAGGTAACAGGTATCCAAAGGGTGATGAACGGCTCAAGAAAAGACCAGGCTTGAACTCAGACCAGGACAGAAGGATGGAAAAGAGAGCATAGATGCTAGAATTCATTGTGCCCAAAGTAGACCATGACCTGTGACAGTTCCTTGGTTTATGTCTGAGTTGCCTGGGGCTTCTGGGGGGGGGGGTCATGGTAGCACCATTAGCAGACAGAAAGAAGGCAAAGGGTAACAGCATGGTGATAGGCTGACATGGGGGTGACTTAACTCTTGGAGCGAAGGTACAACAGGGTAAAAGCACTGGCAGGTTTAAATCTCACAGAATTGGTTTCCATTAAATCAGTCCATAATTGAGAACAGAAAAGCAGATTATAAGAGACATAGATGGCCAAGTCACAAGCGACCCATGAGTTTTCCTTCCTAGTTGTTTTCTCTGGATGGATCTCAAGGTAGACTTGGGAGGGGTGTGTGTGAAAACTTCCCAGGTGCTCTCTTGGAGAAGGTCCTGGACCTGGAGAACATGGAGTACTTTTGCTTAAGGGATAATAAATGCCTTGCCTCCTAGGTCAGAGAGTGCAGGTCAGGCTCATTGGGGCTTTGCTCTGTGTTAATTGAGAGACTCATTTTCTTTTAAAACAGCATGGTATAGGCAAGTGAACAGGACTTAGAATCAGCTCACCTGATTATAAACCAGAGTTCTGCCTCTGGCCATCACCCACTTCTTGTCACAATTCAGTTCCCTAACTGCAAAATGGGAGTAATAATGTCTCCCACCGTAGCTTCGTCATGAGGATTCAGTGAGATCATAAACATGTCTGACACTTAAAGACTCCCCATACCAGACTCTTCCTTCCCCTGATGGGGTTTGGGGAGCAGGGAAGCAAGAAGTAAAACCCAGTTCTCTCTGTTCCCCAGTGTCAGCAGAAGCTGATGGAAAATCGGGCTCTGGATCCAGGGACTCGGGATTCCTATGGTGCCACCAGCCACCTCCCCAACAAGGGGGCCCTGGCTAAGGCCAAGAACAACTTCAAAGACCTGATGTCCAAGCTGACAGAGGGCCAGTACGTGCTGTGCCGTTGGACAGATGGACTGTATTACCTCGGGAAGATCAAGAGGGTAGGCATCTCCTCTCTGGTCCCTATTCTCAGGCTTGGCGTCTTTGCTGGTCCTCTGGCCTGACTTTCAGACCAGTGATGGAGGAACAGGAATTGCTGGCAAGTTCCCTTCTTGTCCCCCATGCCCAGAAGCTGAAAAGAGAAAGAGCCAGAGCCTGAGTTTGCAGGTACCTTCCTTGGAACAAACATCAGCCAGAACTTTAGAAAAGTGCTCTGAGCGCCTGCAGAGCACACTGAACAAGGCTGGAGAGGAGCAGGGGTGACCGCTGGCCTGTTCTGCCCTCAGTGTTCCTACCAAGTTGTCCCCCTTTCCCTGACTGTCCAGTTCCAGGGCCTCCAGGAGTTGCCACTCTCGCTCCTCTACTAGCCTAGCTCTGCTTTCTGAAGCCCAAGGAGACAGAAGTGGGAGGACGACTGGGCCGTGGTCTGGCTGCCCCCCAGCTCTTTCTCACATTGCTCCCCTCGTGCCTCAGGTCAGCAGTTCTAAGCAAAGCTGCCTTGTGACTTTCGAAGATAATTCCAAGTACTGGGTCCTGTGGAAGGACATACAACATGGTGAGTATTCCTAAGATTTGGGGTACCCTCCCCTCCCCTGTTCTCCCTCCTCCAACACCTTCAGTCCTTCCATCTCTTTTTCCTGGCATCTGCCCTGGTTCATGAACCCCCAAGCCCACCTGAGGTGATGATCAGATTACCAGTTGTATGACATCTGTGTCCTCCCCTTGAGTGCTCATATTTATAAGGGAGACAAGGCAGATGGGGAAGTGGCTCACGGAGGTACCACGCAGGCTGAGACTAGATCTCAGGCATGTGTTTGTGTCCTTGTACTTTATCTCCTGCTTCTAAAGCTCTGGGTCTAGTGGACTAGGAATGAGGAGGAGGCCAAGCAATCAGAATTGTCACCTGTAGGTTTAATCAGTGCCCCAAATCAGCATGTGAAGAAAACTAGTGGAGGCAGCTCTAGCCCTGGGGCGAGGAGTCAGGAACCCTGAAGAGTGCAGAGATGGGCCAGTCAGTGTGAAGATGGACATGCCTGGGTGGAGCTGGGCCTCCTTCCATCCCTGACTGCAGAGAGCTGACAGTGTCTTATGGAGATGGCAGATGAGGCATTCTGCTGCCATTCTCCCTTCCACATGACCCATGTCAGTGGTCAGTCACAACACTCAGATTTGGGGGAGGGGGCAGTACTGGTGATTGAACCTGGGGACGCTTAACCACTGAGTCACCTCCCCAGCCCTATTTTGTATTTTATTTAGAGACAGGCTCTCACTGAGTTGTTTAGCGCCTCGCTTTTGCTGAGGCTGGCTTTGAACTCTTGATCTTCCTGCTCCTGAGATGCTGGGATTACAGGCGTGGGCTACCATGCCCAGCTGCTTATAGATTTTTAACATGGAACTCCCATCAGCTACCACCCATCAGAGTTGTCGCAAGAGAAGAAATCTATTTGCTATTTATGCTTAAAAGGAGAATGGGGGGCAAAGGAGGTTTTTTGGTCATATGGACTTTGAACCAAGTTCTAATTCTGCCATTACTAGATGCATAGCCTTGGGTTGTTAAGTCTGGTTTTCTTCATCTGAAAGAAGGAGAGTGAAGTCTTGGCTTCATAGGGTGGTCAGGAAGATTAAGTGAGATAGCCATGTAAAAAGCTATTGAGTCACAGGGAAGCAGTTTCAAAGAATATACAGTAACAAAGAATTTATAGTAACACTATAAAAGACGATTTAAATAGCCCCTTTCTGTGAGAAATTGTGGCCAAGACAGACTGATACCTTTTCCCAGCCCCTCTTACCCTAGAATTACTATATAAAGATCCAAAGCCAAGAAGATCTCCTCTCCTATTACCCTTTTACTGAAAGTGTAAGGAGCCAGCTAGAGAAGATGGTTAGTTTTAGCAGAGCTTGCATAGAAGGCTTACTGTGTGCCGGACACCATGGAGGTACCATCGTGCTCTCCTAGAACAGCTTGTCTCCCCAGCAGGAAGACTGTTCCTCCCAGGCAGAATGGTGTCCCCCCTGGTGTTGCTGGACACGCTAAGCTATGACCCATCTCATTGCTTCATTAAGCCAGTGAGGACTTACTGAGACTCACTGTAGGTACCACACTCCTGGGGCATATTCAGGAAGAAACAGGTCCCTGCTTGACCATTTATTCAACAAGCATGTCTTAAACACCTGTATGTATCCCATATGAGGTCCTGGGGATATCAAAATGAAATGACACCATTTCTACTATAACAAAAAAAAATGACACTGGGTGGTGGCACGTGCCTATAATCCCATCAGCTCAGGAGACTGAGGCAGGAGGATCTCAGTTTCAAAGCCTCAACAACTTAGTGAGGCTGTGACCTAGTGAGACCCTGTCTCAAAATAAAAAATAAAAGGTCTGGGAATGTGGCTCAGTAGTAAAATGCCCCGGGTTCAATCCTGGTACAAAAAGAAAACAAAACAAAACACCAAACCCTCAGATGATTGGAGAAATGAGACAGAAACACACATCAATATGTATTTAATGTATCCGTTCAAGCATTTCAGTTGTTAAAATGTAAAGAAAACAATGGAGAGGGAATCAATAGATGAGAAACAATTCTAAAATCCTATTAACTGGTCACCATGTGTAGACTTTTTTGGATCTTGATTCAAAAGCAAAAAACAAATTGAGAATCATGACAACATTTTTTAAAAAACATTTTAGTTGTAGGAGGACAGAATACCTTTATTTTATTTATTTATATGTGGTGCTGAGGATTGGACCCAGGACCTCATATATGGTAGGCAAGCACTCTACCACTAAGCCACAACCCCAGCCCTGAGAATCATGACAACATTTTAATTGAGAGACAGTTGGGAATATGAACACTAACTGAATTTGTTGATATTAAGGCTCTGTGGTGATTTTTTTGTTTTGTTTTGTTTTGTTTATGCTGGGAAGGACCTTATGCATGCTAGGCAAACCCAGGACTTTATGCATGCTAGGCGAACACTCTACCCCAGAGCTACGTCCCAACCCAGTAGTGACACTTTAAAAAAAGAAAAGAAAAGAAAAGAAATCCTGATATTTCAGAGATACAACTGAAGTATTTATGCAAAAATGATTTGGTATCTGGATCTCAATTCAAAATAATGACAAGAGGGAGAAGTGGGTGGGAACCTAGTCAAAATAAGATTAGCTTTGAGTTCATGATTATTTATGAGAACATGGAGTTATAGTGTTATTATCCCATAATAATTTTTTTAAATGTTATTTAGCATAAAAATGTCAACCAAACAAGTTGAATTAGAAGAGAGCATGCTATGGTCAAAAGAACAAAAGATTTGTTGAATAGCCATCGATTTGAATCCCACTTTTTATTAGTTTAGCAAGAAACTTACTCAGTTTCCCCATCTTTAGAATGGGGTATTGGTAATACCTCATTGGACAGATGCGGTGGGGTGGCTTGGAGGCCTGGTGCTAGGTCCAGTGTGCACCAGGAGCCCAGGACCTGGACTCTGATTTTAACTCTTCTAATTGCTGTGAGCCAGTTGTGACCTGGAAGGCCCTCTTTTTCAGCCGGTGTTCCAGGGGAGGAGCCCAAGTGTAACATCTGCCTGGGGAAGACCTCAGGACCCCTGAATGAGATCCTCATCTGTGGAAAGTGTGGCCTGGGTGAGTGGGGTGAGCAGGCATTACAAAGCCCCCATCCTGTGAGTCTACCCCTGCATTGGCCTGATGGACACTATTCCCCACTGCTGGGACCCCTGGTGGCTCCCTGTTTCTCTTGAGCTCCAGGATGAAAGGGGGCCAGTCTCTGTGAATGAGGGCCCAGGGAGGTGACCTTGGGGAAGTTGAGAAAATACAATGGAACATGCAGTTTGGTACCCACCTAGGTAGCGAAGAAGAGTGGGAAAGAACCGGTACAGGTGCTGAAGCCAGGCCTTGGTGCCTCCCCCTCTGGCCAGTGCTTTCTTTTCGTCCCCAGCCTGGATGCCAACTTGGCTGCCTGGGTGGGCATCACCAGCCAGCCCCCTAGCAGCTGGCAGGCAGAGCTCCCAGGGCTCTCCGCCACCTTCTCAGCCTTGCTGCCTTTGAGCTTCCTGGCCTTGAGCCACTGCTTCGTCCTGGGTACTCACTACCCCCTCCTCTGTCATAGGTTACCACCAGCAGTGCCACATTCCCATAGCAGGCAGTGCTGACAGGCCCCTGCTCACACCCTGGTTCTGTCGACGCTGCATCTTTGCTCTGGCTGTGCGGGTGAGCCTTTGTCTTTGTCAGACCCTGCCTCTCCCTCCTCCAGTCCAGCAGCCCAGAGGACCCCTGGGCCCAGGCCGGACTCCCCATACCAGACTCTGAGCTCCAAGCAGAAGGACCCTACTTGGGCTTCAGAGAGAGATGGTATCTCTGCCACTTAGGAGCTGTATGTCCTTGATCAAATTCCAGATCCTTACTGAGCCTCAGTTTCCCCAATTGTAAAATAGACACGGTTTGGTGTTAGGAGTAGCAGGCCCCTGATAGATGGTGCTTTGCTATTAAAAGAGAAAATCCCTGTAAATGCTTATGCTAATACATATAGGTCATTATGACCTGTATTGTGCTTATTGCCTTTAATATTATTAATGAAGATCCTTCTGGGATAGAGATGGCTTGAGGATTGGTGAAGGAAAGTTCCTTGCCTTCCTGCCTTGGAACTTCTGTGGGTTCCCCCAAACCCTGGGCAGTATTTTCCTTGATAGTGTAATGACACGTGTGGCCCAACCAGTACAGCAGGTGATTGGGGCCCTCGTCTTCCCCCAGAAAGGTGGCGCGTTGAAGAAGGGCGCCATCGCCAGGACGTTGCAGGCAGTGAAGATGGTGCTGTCCTACCAACCAGAGGAGCTCGAGTGGGACTCGCCACACCGCACCAATCAGCAGCAATGCTACTGCTACTGCGGCGGGCCCGGAGAGTAAGGCCACCGGGACAGGGCCGCCGGGGAGACTGACTGCCGGCTGGGGCCTGACGGGGAGGGCTGGGAGTGTGAGCCTCGAGAGGCGGGGCTGCGGGCCCGAAGTGTCAGCCTCGGGCCGGGGCCTCAGGGGGCGGGGCTTCGGGAGGCGGGTCCGAAGTGTCAGCCTCGG